TGCGCTCTGCCATGAGGAAGTCTGGCTTAAAGACACGGCGTTTCTGGTCCCAAAAGGCGTTTCTGGTCCCCACCTGTCGTTTTGCTCCTCAGTATGGCTTCCTAAAAACGCTGCAGGATTTCTCAAACATGCATGAATGAGTCAAAGCAAGACTTTGGGCATGTTTTATTATGAGAGTATAACGATACAAAACTCAAAAAAGTTAATTTTACATGATTTTCCACCTTTAATAGTGTGTTGCAAAACAAATTTCACGCCGCTGAGATGAACCTTTCTTGAGATATTCACATGTAAGGTAACAGGAAGTGATGTCAAAGGGGAATGTCTGTATGTGAGCCGAATGTTGCCACGATAACTAACGGACTGTAGAGAAGATTCTGTTTCTTTAAAATATTTCTATCACTAGAATCACTATCGAAGGGAGACGAGGGAGTGTCAGAGTTCCAATAATATTGTTTCAATAAAGAGTTCCCCTTTAATGTCARTTCCTGTTTTACTTTTACTGAGCCAAGTTCAAAAGAYAATCTGTTAGGTATGTGACAACGTGTGTAAAGTCATGCGTATTAAGCCATGTTTCAAATAGAAAGATGTTTTCTGTGACATTCATATCTAAAGCATGTGCATATCACAGGCACTTTAAATCCTTCAAAAAGATTGATCTTTGAATCCCTCCGTTTGTCTAAAGGTGATATTGTAGGTTTCTTTTATTTAATTAAGTAGTTCAAGCAGCAATATTTCTTTTTTTTTCAGTCACGACGGAAATCTACTTCCCAATAGGATTTAATTCAGAGTGACTGGTGTGTATCCACTGTTACATCATCTACCCTGCTCTCCTGGCCTCTGCGACTCACTCCATGTGCTTTGCTTGAGGTTTACTTTCCCTCTGCTGCAAAATCAGTGAAGCTCCTTTTGCCTCCCAGAGCGCACGCCTTCGTGTCGCTCGCCCAGTTGGTACTCGACCTGCTGGCACCGAAAGGGCAATCAGAGGGCATCGCTCTCGTTTGCCAAGTTACTGAGTGTAACACTTGTGTTTATAGCAGCTCTTGTAGTTCACTGGAGTCAAATGRAGAGCGGACGAATGGGGAAGTAGGTCAGCGATTCCTAATTATTTTAGCATAAGTCTTCGTGAAACAAAGCAGTGTTTAAATTCACGCTCCTCATCGCTTGTTGTTAATGCAACATTTGATCTTTTTTTGCTTAAGAAAATGTGAAAAAATATTGCATGAAAATAGGCTTATTTTGTGTGTGCGCGCATTTTTTTTGAAAATCACCGCAAACATCACAAGACATTCTGGAGACTCACCCATGAATATCTTGGTCATCTGAAATGGTACTAAAATATTTAATACAGCGGGTAAAATAAGTATTGAACACGTCAACATTTTTCTCAATAAATATATTACTAGAGGTGCTAA